TGAAAAATGGTAAAGGGGACATCACCGCCAATCTCAGAAATACAAACTACCATCAGTGATTACTACAAACAACTCTATGCACACAAACAAGTCAATCTGGAAGAAATGGACAAATTCCTTGACACTTGCACCCTCCCAATTCTAAACCAAAAAGAAGTTGAAACTCTGAATAGACCAATAACAAGGGCTGAAGTTGAGGCAGCAATTAATAGCCTACCAATCAAAAAAAGTCCAGGTCCAGACAGGTTTACAACTGAATTCTACCAAACGTACAAAGAGGAGCTGGTAGCATACCTTCTGAAACTATTCCAAATAATACAAAAAGAGGGAATCTTCCCCAACTCATTTTATGAGACCAATATCATCCTGATGCCAAAACCCGGCAGAGACTCAATAAGAAAAGAAAACTTCAGGCCAATATCCATGATGAACATAGATGCAAAAATCTTCAGGAAAATACTGGCAAACTGATTGCAACAGCATATCAAAAGCTTATTCATCATGATGAAGTAGGCTTCACCCTGGGGATACAAGGCTGGTTCGACATACACAATTCAATCAGTGTAATCCATCACATAAACAGAACCAAAGACAAAAACCACATGATCATCTCAACAGATGCAGAGAAAATCTTCGACAAAATTCAACAGCCCTTTATGCTAAAAACTCTCAATAAACTAGGTATCAGTGGAATGTATCACAAAATAATAAAAGCTATTTTTGACAAACCCACAGCCAATATCATGCTGAATGGGCTAAAACTAGAAGCATTCCTTTGAAAACTGGCACTGGACAAGGAGGCCCTCTCTAACCACTCCTCTTCAATATAGTATTGGAAGTTCTAGCCAGAGCAATCAGGCAAGAAAAAGAAATAAAGAGTATTCAGTTAGGAAAAGACGAAGTCAAATTCTCTCTATTTGCAGATGACATAATTGTATACCTAGAAGACCCCATCATCTTAGCCCCAAATCTCCTGGAACTGATAAGCAACTTAGGCATAGTCTCAGGATACAAAATCAATGTCCAGAAATCACAAGCATTCCTATACACCAACAACAGACTTAAAGAGAGCCAAATCAAGAACAAACTGCTATTCACAATTGCTACAAAGAGAATAAAATACCTAGGAATACGATGAACAAAGGATGTAAAGGACTTCAAGGAGAACTACAAAACACTGCTCAACAAAATAAGAGAGGACACAGACAGATGGAAATACATTCCATGCTCATAGTTGGGAAGAATCAATATTGTGAAAATGGCCATACTGCCCAAAGTAATTTATAGATTCAATGCTATCCCCGTAAAGCTAGCAATGACCCGCTTTACAGAACTGGAAAAAAACCACTTCAAGCTTCATATGAAACCAAAAGAGAGCCCACATAGTCAAAACAATCCTAAGCAAAAAGAACAAGGATGGAGGCATCACACTGCCCAGATTCAAACTATATTACAAGGCTGCAGTAATAAAAACATCGTGGTACTGGTATCAAAATGGAGACATAGACCAATGAAACAGAACAGAGGCCTCAGAAGCAACATCACACATCTAAATCACCTGATCTTTGACAATCCTGACAAAAACAAGCAGTGGGGAAAGGACTCCCTGTTCAATAAATGGTGTTGGGAAAACTGGCTAGCCATGTGCAGAAGGCAAAAGCTGGACCCCTTTCTGACACTTTACACTAAAATTAACTCCTGATGGATAAAAGATCTAAACATAAGACCTAACACCATAAAAACCTTAGAAGAAAACCTGGGCAAAACCATTCAGGACATAGGCATAAGCAAGGACTTCATGGCTAAAACACCAAAAGCAATGGCAACAAAAGCCAAAATAGACAAATGGGATCTAACTAAATTCCAAAGCTTCTGTACAGCAAAAGAAACAACCACAACAGTGAACTGGCAACCAACAGAATGGGAAAACAATTTTGCAATCTACTCATCTCATGAAGGGCTAATATCCAGAATCTACAAAGAACTAAAACAGATTTACAAGGAAAAAAAAAAAACCCATTCAACAGTGGGTGGAGAATAGGAATAGACACTTTTCAAAAGAAGACATATATGAGACCAACAAACATGAAAAAATACTCATCATCACCAGTCATTAGAGAAATGCAAATCAAAGCCACATTGAGATACCATCTCACACCAGTTATGATGGTGATCATTAAAAAATCTGGAGACAACAGATGCTGGAGAGGATGTGAAGAAATAGGAACAGTTTTACACTGTTGGTGGGAGTGTAAATTAGTTCAACCATTCTGGAAGACAGTGTGGAGATTCCTCAAGGACCTAGAAATAGAAATTCCATTTGTCCCAGCAATCCCATTATTGCATATATACCCAAAGAAATATGAATTGTTCTATTATAAAAACACATGCACACATATGTTCATTGAGCCACTGTTTACAATAGTAAAGACTTGGAACCAACCCAAATGTCCATCAGCAATAGACTGAATAAAGAAAATGTGGCACATATACACAGTGGAATAGTATGCAGCCATAAAAATGATGAGTTTGTGTCCTTTGTAGGGACATGGATGAATCTGGAAACCATCATTCAAAGCAAAGTGACACAAGAACAAAAAACCAAACACCACATCTTCACACTCATAGGCGGATATTGAACAATGAGAACGCATGGACACAGGGAGGGGATCATCACACACTGTGATTATCTGGGGGGGCTAGGGGAGAGACAGTGGGGAGTGGGGAGGGTGGGGAGGGATAACGTGGAGAGAAATACCAGATATAGGTGATGGGGGGATGAAGGTGGTAAACCACCTTGCCATGTAGGTACCTATGCAACAATCCTGCAAGATCTGCACATGTACCCCAGAACCTCAAGTACAATAAAAGAAAAATGAAAAAAAAATGAAATTAATAAGATTTTCTACCTTTATGTTAAAAAAGAGGCATTAATAAATACTTGTTCAACATAAGTTTTATGTGTAATGAAGCTAACATCTTATTCAGTTGAGACAACTGAAAGAAGCTTTTCTGCTGAAGTCCAGCAAAAGAAAGATACCTCAAATCTCCACTACTTTTTAATATAAAGAGGTAATATACAATTTAGTAAAGAAAAAATATTCTAATCACAGATAGAAATATTATAAAAACAAGGTAAAATTATTCGAAGATAATGTGAGTACAGATTTGGTAAAACCTAAAGAAAATACCAGAATTCCAGGAACAAAAAATAGTAGCTGCATTTATGAAAATAACATACTAAAATCAGTGTCCAATAAAATCCAGTAACCACTGTGAAAACATAGATGAACGAAATCCAGATAGTTAACAAACGAAAAGAAAGAAAACTAGACAGAAACTCGACAAGTGACCCAAGCCAGTACAGAAAAAAAAACCTGACAAAAAACTTAATAACATTAATTTGATCATGTTCTTGCATAAGAAAAATAAGAGTCATAAAGATAAATTCTACCTAAGTTAAATGACAAACTAGGAAGTAATTTAGATGTAAAAGCTACATCAGCTTGTTTTATTTCTTTTGTTTGTAGTGAGTGAGCCTGAGTAATGTATTATAAGGTTATTTGGAAGAACAGGAGTGAGAATAGCTAAGTAAACACTGAGAAGACAGAAATACAAAATTATACAATCTTATTAAGGGAGTCAGATTTACTCCAGGTGAATTTCTCTGAAGGTATTTTACTATATTTTTTAAACTTTTAAAATTTAAATAAATAAAATTTATTTTAAAATCTGCACATTTTGCTTCAAAGAGACATTTATGAACAGAGTGTGGAAAAAAGTCTGCAGAAAAGTCTTTCAGGTTTAATGTCTCTAGTTTCCAAAAACAAAATGAAAATTGAGTATAGGAAAGAAAGACTTGAAAATATGGGAATCTGTAAAAATTCACATTAAAGAAGCAGTAAATGTTTGTATACATAGCATGTATGTAACTCTAAAATATTAGTGATGGATGTTTCTTGCAGAAGGACTCCAGAGACAAGTAATATTTTCATGGGTGAAATTATCAAAACAAAAACATTTAGAAAGCAATAGCACAGAACAGACAGTCTCTATAACTATGATTATTTGTGTCTTTAATGTCTGCTTATCTCTTTTGCCATATCACATTAAGGTGGCATGATGGAGTTGCACTATGGAAGCTATGCTTGAAGTAGTAAATTTAAATGTTGGTTGCTGACTTATAAACTTTATTTTGAGTTAACCAGGTGAAGAACATATTTTAAAGCTTTTGAGAGGTTAAAATAAAAATTAGTATTAATGGCCAGTATTACGGTGGCTCACACCTCTAATCCCAGTACTTTGGGAAGCCAAGGTAGGTGGATCACCTGAGGTCAGGAGTTTGAAACCAGCCTGACCAACATGGTGAAACCCTGTCTCTACTAAAAGTACAAAAAATTAGCTGGGCATGGTGGTGGGTGCCTGTTATCCCAGCTACTAGGGAGGCTGAGGCAGGAGAATTGCTTGAACCCAGAAGGCAGAGTTGCAGTGAGCCAAGATCCTGCCATTGCACTCCAGCCTGGGGAGAGTAGTGAAACTCTGCCTCAAAACAAAACAAAACAAAGCATTAAAACGCCATATTCTATGAATGATAAGGAGGTGAATGGCACCAAATATTTACTAATTTGAAATTGTTAATTTTAATTGAATGCACATATTTCCTCAGAGAATGTCCGTAAGAAATTATGGCAGACAAAATAATACAAGTATGTATTAGCTCCACATTGATAAATGGGAGCAAAAGTCTCTCACAGGAATTTTGTAAGAGTAAATGAAGAAACATAGATAAAACCCTCTGTATAGTGCCTGCAATTCCTTAAATGTTAGAGTGTTTGTAATTTTTAAATAATTATTAATATTAAAAGAGAAGGAGAGAGAGATACAGAGACAGAGAAAGAAAAGCTCCAAATAATGAAACAGTTCAATAACACTCTGGAACAGAATATGTGAAACTGCACTGTTAATTCACATCAATTGAAAAATAAAATGAAATTCCATACCTTTAAATGTAAGTTGAGATGCTTGGGCAGAACTCCTTTTCTTTGACTGTATATTCAATGTCATGTATCTTTCTTCATCTTGCATCTTCAATGTGAGTGAATGCGTGTGTATACAGATATGTTTTGTTTTATTAAGTATAATATGAAATGAGGAAAGAATAGTAAACCTGCTGCTAGTCAGAGAAGCACTTCAAATTGTTCTTTCTCAGTATGTATGATGGTTCACAGCTTCATTTGTTTGTGAAAACCTCAAAGGAAATGTTTTCTTCTTAAAAGTTGCTTTCCCATAACAGATAACACATTATTTCTCAACTGTCCACCACATATTGAATTGAATATTTTTTGAGGTGCTTTACAAATTTCTCTTAATTTACCCTTAAAGTCAAGGGAATGGAAATTAACTCCCTTTTTGAGGTGAGATAAATAATATATAGCTGCCTTTTGTTGTAGCCTAATTATTTATATTGTTTGAATTACACTCCCTAACATATTGGTACTTAAGTTAATAATTTGCAATTGCCAAACAATTAAATTCTTTATCCCAAAACAACATAGTTTACAAATCATGCTCATAATTTAACAACATAATTTGATTTTTTTTAATGTTTAGGTTCAGAGGTACATGGCAGGTTTGTTTTAAAGGTAAAATCATGTCACAGGGGTTTATTTCATCACAGAGGTATTAAGACTGGTACTAAATAGTTATGTTTTTCTGATCCTACCCCTCCTCCTATCCTCCACCCTCAAGTAGGCACCAGTGTCTGTTGTTCTTCTCTATGTGTACGTGTGTTCTCATCATTTAGCTACCAAATATAATCGAGAACATGTGATATTTGGTTTTCTGTTACTCCATTAGTTTGTTAAGAATAACAGCCTCTAGCTTCATCCGTGTTCCTGCAGTGGACATCATATCATTCTTATTTTATAGCTGCATAGTATTTCATGGTGTACATGTATCACATTTTCTTTATCCATTCTACCACTGATGGGCATTTAGGTTGATTCCATGTCTTTGCTATTGTTAACAGTGCTGCCATGAACAGATGCATGCATGTGTCTTTATGATAGAAAGATTATATTCCATTGTATATGTACACAGTGATGGGATTGCTGGGTTGAATGGTATTTCTGGTTTTAGGTGGTTAAATAATTACCATACTATCTTTCACAGGCATTGAACAATTTATGCTCCCATGTATAACAACTTATACATCAATGGTGTATAAGTGTTCCCTTTTCTCTACTAAGTTGTCAGCGTCTATTATTTTTTGACTTTTTAATAGCCATTCTGACTCGTTTGAGATGGTATCTTATTGTGGTCTTAATTTGCATTTCTCTAATGATTAATGCTTATCAGAGGATGGAGGGTGGAAGGAGAGAAAAAATAAGGAAAAATAATTAATGGGTACTAGGATTAATATCTTGGTGATAAAATAATCTTCATGGCAAACCTCCATTACACAAGTTTATGTATGTAACAAATTTGCACATGTACTCCTGAATTTAAAATAAAATTTAAAAAACATAATATACCCGTTTAAATAAGATAAACTACTAATTCAAAGAGAAAATATGTGACAAATTACCAGAAATTTATTTATTGCTAAATGACAAAAGTAAAAGATAATACATTGTTGTGTTATTTTTATTTTTCCTTGCTAAATTGTGCTCTTTAATTTATAATTCCAGTTTCTTTGGCAATTATTTGACACTTCAAATGGATAAGAAGTAAATTAAAATTGATAAATAAAACAAGAAAACTGTCCACTAATGTCCTTTGTCCACTTTTTAATGGGGTTATTTGTTTTTTATTTGTTAATTTAAGTTTCTCACAGATGCTGAATATTAGACCTTTGTCAAATGCATAGTCTGCAAAAATTTCTTCCCATTCTGTAAATTGTCTGTTTACACTGTTGATAGTTTCTCTTGCTGTGAAGAAGATCTCACATTTAATTAGTATTTTTTGTTTGTTTGTTTTATTTTGTTTTACTTTTGTTGCAATTGCTTTTGGCATCTTTGTCATGAAATACTTGCCTTTTACTACATCCAGTATGGTATTTCAGTTATTGTCCAGAGTTTTCAATATTTGGGGGTTTTAAATGTGAACATTTTATCCATCTTGAGTTGAGTTTTGTATATGGTATAAGGAAGGAGTCCGCTTTCAATCTTCAGCCTGTGGGTGGCCAGTTATCTCAGCACCATTTACTAAACAATGAATCCCTTTCCCATGGCTTATTTTTGTCAGCTTTGTTGAAGATCAGATCGTTGTAGTTGTGGGCCAGGTGCAGTGGCTCAAGCCTGTAATCCCAGCACTTTGGGAGGCCGAGGCAGGTGGATCACAAGGTCAAGAGATCAAGATCATTCTGGTCAATATGGTGAAACCCCGTCTCTATTAAAAATACAAAAAATTAGCTGGGCACAGTGGCATGTGCCTGTAATCCTAGCTACTCAGGAGGCTGAGGCAGGAGAATTGCCTGAACCCAGGAGGTAGAGGTTGCGGTGAGCTGAGATTGTGCCATTGCACTCCAGCCTGGGCAACACGAGCGAAACTCTGTCTCAAAAAAAAAGAAAAAAAAAAAGATAGTTGTAGTTGTGCAGCACTATTTCTGAGCTTTCTGTCCAGTGTCTATGTGTCTGCATTGCTCCATTCTGTTCCAATGGCTTATGTGTCTGCTGTTTTACCAATACCTTGTTGTTTCGGATATTGTAGTACTGTCGTATAATTTGAAGTGGGTAATGTGATGCCTCTAGTGTTGTTCTTTTTGCTTAGAATTGCCTTGGTTATTCAGGCTAATTTTGTCATTTCAGAAGAATTTTAAAATAGTTTTCTTCTAGTTCTGTGAAGAATGTCAGTGGGGTCATTCAATCCAAGATGACCGAATAGGAACAGCTCTGGAGTACAGTTCCCAGTGAAAATGCAGAGGGTGAATGATCACCGCATTTCCAAATGAATGTTTACTGTCCACAAACCAGGAGATTTCCAAGCAGAAAAGCACCATGAGTCTCCAGCAGGGCCATTTCAGCTGGCCAGCGGGTCTTCACACAAAAACTCACACAAATCTGGGTAACCATTTCAACTTGCACCTGGAACACCTGGGAGACAAAGTCATCCATTCAACTGAAAAAAAGGGGGCTAAGACAGGGAGCCAGATTGTCTGGCTTGGCAGGTCCCACCCTCACAAAGACCAGAAATCTGAAACTCTCTGGATTGAGAGTTTCACAGCAAGCACAGCTGGCCCTGGGCTGGTCCAGCTCTGTGAATGGAAGGGCATCTGACATTACCAAGGCAGTCCACCACTACTGAGGCAGTCCGCCAGTACTGAGGCAATCCACCATTACCAAGGCAGTCCACCATTACAGAGACACTCTGCCATTACTGAGGCACACCACCATTACTGAGGCAGTTATAACTATAGCTCTACAAACAAAACCACAAGGAAGTTTATACAGCAGCTGGGCAGAGCCCACGGCAGCTCAGCAATGCCTCTGCTGGTAGACTGTGACTAGGCTACTCCTCGCTGGGCAGGGCATCTCTGAAAAAAGGCAGCAGCACATCAGGAACTTATAAATAAAACCCCACCTTCCCAGGACAGAGCATCTGGGAAAAAAAGGCAGTTATGAGTTACACTGCAGCAGACTAAAACGTACCTGCTCAGCAGCTCTGAATGGAACAATGGAGCTCACAGCTCAGCACTTGAGCTCCTATAAGGGACAGACTGTCTCCTCAAGCAGCTCCTCAACCTCAGTATATCCAAAGAGACACTTCATAAAGGAGAGCTCAGGCTGACATCTGGCTGGTATCTTTCTGGGACAAAGATAACAGAAGAAGAAACTGACAGCAACCCTTACTGTTCTGCAGTCACCTCAGGTGGTCCACAGGTGAGCAGGGTCTGGAGTGGACCTCCAGCAGTCCTACAGCAGAGGGGCCTGACTGTTAGAAGGAAAACTAAAAAACAGAAAGAAATAACTTCATAATCAACAAAAATTATATCCACTCAGAGACCCCATCTGAAAATCACTAACTACAAAGACCACAGGTAGATAAATCCACAAAGATGGGAAGAAGCCAGCTCAAAAAGGGGGCACCCAAAACCAGAATGTCTCTTCTCCTCCGAGGGATCACAGCTCCTCACCAGCAAGGAAACAAGGCTGGATGGAGACTGAGTCTGATGAAATGTCAGAAACAGGCTTCAGAAAGTGGGTAATAACAAAATTCTCTGACCTAAACGAACATATTCTAATCCAATGCAAATAAAATAAGAAACTAGAAAAAAAGGTTTCTCAAGATGCTAACAAGAATAAACAGCTTAGAGAAGAGTATAAATGAATTGATGGAGCTGAAAAACACAGCACAAGAACTTTGCAAAGCATACACAAGTTTCAATAGCTGAATCAACCAAGCAGAAGAAAGGATATCAGAGATTGAAGATCAACTCAATGAAATAAAATGAGAAGACAAGATTAAAGAAAAAAGAGTAAAAAGAAATTAACAAAGCCTCTAAGAAATATGGGGTTATGTGCAAAGATCTAATCTACGTTCAATAGGTATACCTGAATGTGATGGAGAGAATGAATGCAAGCTAGAAAACACTCTTCAGAAAATCATACAGGAGCACTTCCCCAACCTAAAAAGGCAGCTACCATTCAAGTCCAGGAAATACAGAGAACACCACAAAGATATTCCTCAAGAAGAGCAACCCCAAGTCACATAATCATCAGATTCACCAGGGTTGAGATGAAGAAGAAAATGCTAACGGCAGCCAGAGAGAAAGGTCGGGTTACCAAAAAGCGAAGCCTATCAGACTCACAGCAGATCTATTGGCAGAAACCCTACAAGTCAGAAGAGAGTGGGGGCCAATATTCAAAATCCTTAAAGAAAAGAACTTTCACCCTGGAATTTCATATCCAGCCAAACTAATCTTCATAAGTGAAGGAGAAATAAAATCCTTTATGAACAAGCAATTGCTCAGCTATTTCATCACCACCAGGCCTGCCTTACAGGAGCTCCTGAAAGAAGCACTAAACATAGAAAGGAACAACCAGTACCAGTCACTCCAAAAACGTACCAAATGTTAAAGAGCATCAACACAATGAAGAAACTGCATTATTAATAGGAAAAAAAAACAAGCTAGCATCAAAATGGCAGAATCAAATTCACATATAACAAAATTAACCTTAAATGTGAATGAGCTAAATGCCCCA